GTATATATGGGGCATTTCATTTTAAAACGAACCACTTTATAAACAATTGCCATGCATTGTAAGGCAATTTTTAAATATAATTATTTCTCCTATTTATTGAAGCAAAATTTTATTTAATTTTAATGATTTTAAAAGAAAAACTTCTTAACTTTATGATGCTGAAAATTTTTTTTTTAAATAATAGAATTTATGAAAAAAATTAAGTTTGAAAAATAACCTTCTGAATATCTCAAAACATATCGCGTCCGATTTTCTTGAAACTTATGTCAAAACAAAGCTATTTCAAAGCTTAAAAATTTGAGTTTTATTCCCTGTAAACATTATAATGGGTAATTCATGGAAATTTGAGAAATTACTTAAATTTTACATTTCAAATGTCATAATGTATGTACCAAGCGGAATTTGTTTTTTTACAATTTTTACACAGTTTAACCTCTGACATCTCTGTAAAATTTAATTAATTTCTTAATTTCAACCGAATTGCCCATTATAATGTTTACAGAGAATAAAACTAAAATTTTTAAGCTTCATTTTGACATAAGTTTCAAGAAAATCGGACGCGATATGTTTTGAGATATTCAAAAGGTTATCTTTCAAACTTAATTTTTTCATAAATTCTATTATTTAAAAAAAAAATTATGTATTATCATAAAGTTGAGAAATTTTTCTTTTAAAATCACTAATAGTAAATAAAGTTTGGCTTCAATAAATAGGAGAAATAATTATTTAAAAATGGCTCAAACAGGGTTCCTACAGAAATCCGAATTTAAAATTCCATACCTTTTTCATGATTTCCAGGTCAAATTTTTAGGAAATTCCAGTGGAATTTTAAAATTAATTTCCACGTCGTATAATATATATATATATATATATATATATATATATATATATATATATATATATATATATATATCTTAAAATTTCTAATTGAATTTCTATTGAAGAGAAAAAATGGAAAACAAGAAAAATTTAGAAACTTTTAAAAATTCCAGGCCTTTTCCATGATTTCCCTGATTTCCAGAAGCCTTTTAAAAATTCCATACGTACCATTTCCATGATTTCCAGATTCTGTAGGAACCCTGTCATAAAATACTATTTTGTTGACTTTATAGTTTATAGACAACTAAAATGTTGCCAAAAACTGCCTTTTTCTTCATAAATTTAGGTTAGAATGTTTCAAAATGCTAATGTGATGGAACAATTTTCAGAACATTTTCGAATTAAGCGTAAAATATTGCATTAGATATTAGAAATGACTATTCCAGTTTTGGATCTGTCAAAATCCAAAATTTTGTAGACATATGTAATAAAAACCAAGTATTACTAAATATTATTGTTACTTTCATTATAATTTATATTGATAATTTTCTTGTTATTATATAATTCTAATGAAATAGTATTTTTTAAATGAAATGGATAAACGAGAGAATTAGCTAGTAATAATTTTACCGCTAATGCACATCATTTGCAAGTTAATGTTCTCCATATATGTTAACACGAACGCTGGGCAAGTCATAACCTTTTTCTATATATATAATTATATAAATAGGAATTTTACTGATCTGAGAAAGAAATTAATCTTTGTATTTAAAAACAATTTGAAATTCTTTTACATATTTCAATTTAAATAATTTTCCATAAATATTCAAAAGTATTACCAAATTTTCTATTTTCCATACTTCTTTATATGTACACATATTTTTAAAACTAAAAAAAAAATTTATTTTATATTTACAAAAATAATTCTTATTATATTAATAATTAAGAAAAAAACGTTACCTATTAATAAATAATTACTGTATTAATTTATTAGTAAATTCCCAGATAGCACGTAATGTTGCAGCAAGCTTGTGGCAAGCTTGCCGCGTAAGATTGCCAATATTGCCGAGCAAGCTTGCGGCAATATTGTGGCAAGCTTCAAATGTCCCACCTACAGGAAGCTTGCCGCGTAAGCTTGCAGCAATATTGCCTTGTAAGCTTGCTGTAATATTGCCGCAATGTTGCACTGTAAGGTTGTGGTAAGGTTACATGTAAGGTTGTTGTAAGGTTGAGGTGAGGTTGTGGTAAGTTTACAAATTATGGAAAAAATTAACAAAATAATTAATAATTTAAATAATTAATAAATATTAATTAAAAAAATGAATTTTGTTGCTCTTCTTTATTTTTGAAACCTAACATGAAACAGAAAATTTTGAAAACAAATTTGGCGGCACTGGGATTCGAACCCGGGATCGACGCGCATAAACCTAATATCCTAACTAACTGAGCTAAGTGGGGAACTGAGGAAGAGAAACTCAATTTTGCTTTTAAGGAGTTAGTTAGCTTCTTGGTGCACCTTAATAGCAAAATTGAGTTTCTCTTCCACAGTTCTCCACGTAGCTCAGTTAGTTAAGGTGTTAGGTTTATGCGCGTCTATCCCGGGTTCAAATCCCAGTGCCCCCAAGTTTGTTTTCAGAATTTTCTGTTTCATGTTAGGTATCAAAAATATAGAAGAGCAACAAACTTCATTTTTTAATTAATATTTATTAATTATTTAAATTATTAATTATTTTGTTAATTTTTTTCCATAATTTGTAAACTTACCACAACCTCACCTCAACCTTACAACAACCTTACGTGTAACCTTACCACAACCTTACAGTGCAACATTGCGGCAATATTACAGCAAGCTTACAAGGCAATATTGCTGCAAGCTTACGCGGCAAGCTTCTTGTAGGTGGGACATTTGAAGCTTGCCATAATATTGCCGCAAGCTTGCTCGGCAATATTGGCAATCTTACGCGGCAAGCTTGCCACAAGCTTGCTGCAACATTACGTGCTATCTGGGTTATTAATTGTAATGTTAACTAATAATTGACAACAATTACTATATACATATCTTTTAAACTCAATTTTCTATTTAAATTAAATTATTAAAAAAATATATATTTTTATTATCAGAAAGTTCAGAAATTCTACTTTCGAAATCACTAATATAAAAAGTAATTTGGTTCTACAGAATGGAAGAAATATTCATTTAAAAATTGTCTTACATTGGCAATTGTTTACGAAGGGGGTCGTTTTGAAATGGAATGCCTCATATATTATTATTATTAAATAAATATTTAAATTCATGAATTAGGAAATCTATTTTTATAAATTTTTTTATTTACGAATTTATAATGAAAAATAAAATAAAAATAGACAAATTTCTAAGAAAGTTATGTTTAAAAAAATGTTTAATTAAAAAAAAGAAATTAGTTTCAAGAGGTATGTAAACACTCACTAGTGAATTGTGGAAAACGTGTCATTTCTCTATTTAAAAAGGGACGAAAGTTAATGATTTCTTTGTATGAAAGAAAGTGTTATTATGATTACAATTAAAAATTGGAAAGAGATTTTGAGAAAATTTTTCAAGAAAGATAATGAGAAAACAAGAATCACTCACTCATTTATAATTAGAAAAGCGACCGTGAAGAAAGGGCGCCTTTTCCTGTTCGACGACAACGGCGACGAAAGACAAATCAATTGATTCAAAAGTGCACACTAACATAATGTGAAGAATTTTTTTCAACAATCATCGTAAGCACAAAGACATGTTGTTTTTGTTTTCTAAAACAGCACTTGACAATTTTTGACATGTTATTAGAAAACTTACCCTCGTCGTCTTCCATGTTAGTTTTTCATGAGGATTATGCGGTTACCATGACAACTATTATCAAAACATATGCGTGAGAAATGCACAGGTACTTTTGGATTCATTGTTTTCACCTTTAAAAAAGAAAAAAATGTTTAACTATTAATTTATTTATAATTAAAATGCATATATTCATTCATTGTCATAAATACTATTAACTATAATTATATAAATAAAATACTTATACCATTTTAAAAATATTTTCAAACGTGAAAATAACTATTTTCCATCCTGTAAATATTAAAGCCTTACGAGAGATTAATTATTGATCTTTGGAAAATTCATTACAATTACATTTAATTTCTTTTAATTTTAGGCTTTCTTAGTTTTTTTCTTATAAATTTATGACGTTCTAAAATTAATTTATTAAACTTGATGTATAAATATGTAGAAAGTTAAATGAATATAAATATTTTTTTCATGTACTTCAATTAACTTTCTATTTAAATGTTTATTATTTTAATTATCAGTAAAACAAACAATAAATATTAGTAAAAAAATTAATAAATAAGATAAAAACGCAATCAATACTCAATATAATAATGGTTATTTTTAAATTCCAATATTATTATTCAACACTCATTTTCTCCTCAGATTTTTGAAAATAATATAAATAAAAATTATCTATATAATAAAATAAATATTCTTAATACTCAATACAAATTTAAAATAATTATTTATCTGCTTACGTTCTGTCTTGTCCTTTCAGGACAAACCTCAGAAGGGTTCGCGAAGACCCTTCGAAAAGAATTCGTTTCTATATCAACCAGTCTCAATTTTTCCGTCTTTGTTTTGTCGATTTATTATAATTACGATGGTGTATATACCTACAGATTTCAAATTGAAACTTTCAAAATTAATTAGACCGCTTCCGTTAGCGATAGTTAACAATATAAATCTTCGAAAGTAAATTTATAGAGGTCTCAGAAAATGTTACAATTAAAATTATTATTATCCTGGATTCCATATGACTTTAAAACTAGATTTCGTGAATTTTTATTATTTTTAATTTTAAATAACTTTTGGTTTATTGTTTAATTCTAATTAATAACAAATAAATTTGTCTCCATTTCAAAATAGGTATATAAAATATTAACATTATAATTTTTAATTTATGGGTTTTAATAAGTTTATATTTTATATTTATTATCACATAAATATTGTATACTGGTATAAATAAAAGAAAAATATTTTAAATTAGAAAAATTGAGTAATAATTTATTTTTAAATTTTAGTCTCTTTTTTTCATTTTTTCATATTATGTTGACAATTTTTTTGTATGTAATTATATTGAAATAAAAAATAACAGTCAATTTTCAAGATCCCTAAAATTACGTTACTGGGGATTGTGAAACTCACAAAGTTGTTATTTCACGACTTTGGTCAGTTGAGGTTATATCCAACCCTCTGTTCTGCCCTCTGCTCTGTGTATAATTATATAAAAAGACAGTATACGTGACAATTATCACGATTTATTATTATAATAATTAATTTGGAAAATTAATTAAGAAAAAATATAAAAATTAAGTGCGTTAAAATATCTCAGTTCAATGAATAAGATGTCGAGTTTCTCGAGCAGACGAATATTTTCTTCCATCAACAATCTGGTAAAGTAATGTAAATAATGTAATTTATTAATATAATATGTATGTAATGTAATAATACAATTAATAATTCATTCTTAAAAACCATTATCCAAATAATAAATTTTTATTCACTTTGATACCTATAATTCATTTTTGCCATTGGCGTTCTTCCGTATCAATAAACAATAAAAATACATCTTGGAAAGAAAATAATCTAAGTAGGATGATAAAGATAAATATGATAAAAGAGGAAAAAAGGACGATATCAACAGAATTTATTTATGAATAAGCAAGAAAATTTCCTTAGTTAAGAAATAATTTTAGATGAAAAAATCTAAATTTTGCCTCAATGACGAAAACTTTTTTTAAATATTGGATAAATAGCTGTGTGAGAGGTATTTTAAATAAATTCAACTTTATATCACATTGAATTTTAATATTGTAGGTAGGCGGATCTATTACAAGGACAATATCAACAAGCAGGATATTGACATCGAAGGAAAAATATGTAGAAATCGAACAAAAAAATGGTGTAAGTAAATAAGAAAGAAAAAAGGCTATTTCTTATTTTATTTTCTATTGTTTACTATTTTATTTTTTCCACAAAGGTGCAAAAATTCTGTAATGAAATTGATACTCAAGTGCTTTCAATATTTAACTATTAATATATAATATAAATAATATTTTAACTATTTAGATTTTTTCATATCCAGGTGAGAAGAATAACACTAAATCATGCAAAATCACGAAATTCTCTTTCGTTAGAAACGATAAATATTCTTTTGTACAATATTTCTAAAGACGTTGAAGACAATGAACTTGGCTCAATTGTAATTCAAGCTGCTCCCGGAAAAGTTTTCTCTGCCGGCCATAATTTAAAGGAATTGGTAAATAATAATTGAAATTATTATTCTTTTGAATAAATTAACAACTATAGCATAAATAATTAATTAATAAAACAAATGGAAAAAATACTTTATCACAGATGATGCATTATTACTTACGTCGTTTAGACGTCAGAAAATAGAGAGAGCCATCATCTGGCAGTATTTGAGACGTTCGAGATGCTCATGAAAGAAATTATGCAATGCCCAGTGCCAATAATTGCTGCAGTCGATGGTCTGGCAGCTGCAGCTGGATGTCAATTAGTTGCAGCTTGTGATATTGCAATTTGCACTGAGAAAAGCAGCTTCTCAACTCCCGGGTAAGAAATTGCACGATCTGAAAATACAAGTCTCTTCTTTTAAATTGCAATACTTTCGGTTTTCTTTTGCATTAATGATGAGTTATTTCTTATATTTTCTATCACCCTACAAGATTGTTCTAGGGAAGTCATTTTACTTAGAAACTGTTAATTTGTATTTGATTTTTCAACTAATTTCTGAAACTTCTTTATTGTTTTTGAATTGTTTTCAAAAAAATTTAAGGGTAAATCAATTTTAAGTATGCAAATGTCAAGGGATACAAATAATTAAATACTAAATAGTGATTGATAATTCATCACATAAGTTCAAAAATCAACCATAAAATGAGCTCTCTTTATGCCAATTTAATGAAATTCTTAATTAATTATACTCATTTATATAAAAATGATCGACTACTGGGTGTCGAGTGATCAAGTACTGGTTCTAATGATATTTTAATGGCTGATCGACTACTGGGTTTTAAATTGACTTGTAAATTGCGAATTTCAAGGTCGGAACATCATTTACAGAATTAAAAAAGAAAAATTAAAAAATAGCTATTTCTTTGTAAGTTATCAAAATATCCCGGATCAAAAAACTCGATTTGCGTTCGAACAGGAAATTTTCACGTCAGTTAGGCCCTCATGAAAAAATAAAGGAAAATAAAATAAAAGAATTTTCAAATTCGTATTCTTGTAGATAATAAAAATGCGCAACTCTTTTTCTTTAAAAGAATTTTTTTTAATCTGAATATTTTAGATAATTTAAGCCTTCCAAGCGGCAAATCGAGTTTTTTGATCCTGGAGCTCAATTGTTTATGAATCGTTCGCAAAATAGTAGGTGCTGTAAGGTAAAAATTTGTATGCCGTACTTTTTTTAAAATTTAAAATTAAACTGAAATAATTACTGAATGTATTTGCCCCTTTTTTGCATTTCCTGCCCCTGGTTTTTTTCTAATTTTACTTCAAATTCTTTTTTACTTACATAATAGAAAAAAATCTGGATAAAAAAAAATTTATGATTTTTTGTAGCGAATATATAAATAAATATGAATTGAATTTGAATGTTTTTATTAAATTAATTATATTAGGTACTACACTTCAAAAACAAGTGTCTCATTTTGAGACGTTTTGTCCCATATTTGATACACATAAGATGTCTTAGTCCACATATTTGAAACAGATATGTGTCTCATTTTAAGACGTTTTAAAGTGTCTTACACATTTAGCAATGCATTTTGAGACACGAAATGTGTTTCGAGTAGCCGTCTCACACTAAGAAGACGTTTTACGTGTCTTATACGCATTGAGTTACCTTTAATGTCTTAAAATGAGACACGAGATGAAATTAAATGTCTCAATATAAAACAGATTTTGTATCTCAATGGTTTAAACACTTAAAGCAACTCATTTTAAGACACGAGTGAGATACCAGTTTTTGCAGTGTAGATAGGACACAATTGCATAAATAAATTAAATGCGAATTAAATAATTTATTACTTCAGAATTGTAATAATAAATTAAAAAAATTTAATTTTGTTGTGGACTTTTTAGAGCAAATGTAGGAATATTTTGTTCAACCCCAGGAATCCCTTTGGTAAGAAATGTACCCAGAAAGGTTGCTTTTCACATGTTGCTAACTGGCTTACCGATTTCGGCGAAAGAAGCTTATGACGCTGGACTCGTTAGCAAAGTTGTGCCCAACGATAAACTCGGTAAAATGTTTAGCCTACCAGACAGTAGTCGAACACTTAATAACTTTCAGTACCTAGTTATTGGCAAAATTTTTGAACAAAGTGTAGATTACTATTAGTGCATCCTTTCAAGAAATCTACATTTTGTTCAAGAATTTTAGCAATAATCACTAAAAATCACCCACTTTAAAAATACTTTAAGAAAATTTAGTCTTAATTTTTTAAAACAAATACTGTTTCAAAAATAATAAGTTCCTTTAAAAATCAAGATTTTTATAGCCATAAAAATGACTTTCTTCAATTTAATAAAGTTAATAAATTAATTTTTTAACAATGTTTTTATTCGTATAAATTTGATATTTTTTCAGAGGATGAAATCCAGAAGATTACAAACGCTATAAATTCTCAAAGTCGATCAGTGACAAGACTTGGAAAAAGATTTCTATTTGAACAATTAGACGTCGATATATCGACAGCTTATTCATTGGGAACGGAAATTATGGTTGAAAATTTAAAGCTCAAAGACTCACAAGAGGGAATTAAAAGCTTCATCGAGAAAAGAAAACCTTTATGGAGTCACAACTACGAACAAGACTGACTTAATTAATACAATAATACAAACACTGAAAAAAAACAGTATTGAACCAAGAAAATTTTTCTTGGTTGAAGCAAATCGTGGGATTGAATACGGCCAAGACTATTAAAATATTGATTCAAGAAAACGATTTTCTTGACATAGGATATTTGGGAGAAGAACATATATTCTTGATCCAAGAAAATATGGAATTCGACCAAGAAGTTAGTCTTCTTATACAAAGTATGAAATGTATTAAATGAATAAAATATTTTCTTGTTCTAAGAATATATATAGTTAATTGAATTATTTTATTTGATTCATTCAATTTTTTGTAACGTTCGTTCAAGTAATTTAAGATTTAAATGAAGAAAACATTTATGTTGTGAGAAGAACAGATATTCTTGATCCAAGAAAATATGGAATTCGACCAAGAAGTTAATCGACTTGTACGAAATATAAAATGTATTAAATGAATAAAATATTTTCTTGTTCTAAGAATATATATAGATAATTGAATTATTTTATTTGATTCATTCAATTTTTTGTAACATTCGTTCAAGTAATAATTCAAGATTTAAATGAAGAAAACATTTATTTTGTGAGAGAACGCAGATATTCTTGATCCAAGAAAATATGGAATTCGATCAAGAAGTTAAGTAGCATGTAAGAAATGCAGAATATATTAATTCAAAATAATTTATGTATCAAATCAAGAAAGTATGTTCTCTGCCCAAGAAAATATTTTCTTGATTTGAGAAAATTTATAGATTTCAATCAAAAAAATAATTTCTCAATACAAGTAAATTATTTACTTAAATTCCCCCCCCCCCTTACCCCCATCCCATCTTTTCTAATACTTAGGTCAAACATTTTTATTATTTAATTAATTAACATTTATATTTTTTATTTAAATAATTAAATAATTGTTATTTTACATATATATTTACATTTAATTATTACTTAACACAAATACAACAAATATACCTTGAAAGAAAATTTTCCACGGTCGGAGGAATTGAACTCGGGTTGCACGCACCAGAAGCCGTCACGCTACCACTATGCCATCCTAGCCTCAATGGACAGTTTTCAAAAACTGATATTTAAGTTGCATATACATTTGAAGAAAAATATTTTCTTGGATCAAGAACACCGGCATTGTGTTAAGTAAAAAAAAGTTTCAAAGCAAATAAATAAAATGATTCGATTCAAGAAACATGAATTCTCCAGACAATACTTTATTATTTCGCTGAAGAACATGATATTCTAGATTCAATACTTTTTGGTACTTCGGAAAAGTAAAATATTTGGTTGAAATAATTACATATTGAGTTCTGCCAAATACTAAATTGTTAATTCAAGAATTCTGTTCAATGCTAATAATTACTTGACACAAGAAAATGAATTTCTTTCTTCAAATAAATATGGGATTAATTGAATATAATTTTTAATCAACTTGAAACAAATATTTACTTATATTAACCTTCGTATTTTCTTGAATCAGGATTATATGAGCGTTGAATTAAGTAAAAACTTTTTTAAAGGAAACAAAAGAATGATTTAATTCAAGATCTTACACTTAATTGAATTGAATAAATAAAATATTTCATTCCAGAAAATATAATATTCTCGCAAGAAATTAATGATTTTGAAACATGAGAATATAGAGATGCTTCAAGTAAAAGAAATGCTTAGATTAATTAATATTTCTTTGAAACAAAATAATTTTTAATTGAATTGAAACAATTATTAACTTGTATTAATCTTCCTATTTTCTTGGCTCAAGACTATGGGTGTTGGATGAAATAAATAGTTGCTTTAAAGGAAATAAAAAAATTATTTGACTCAAGATCTTACACTTAATTGAATTGAATAAATAAAATATTTCATTCCAGAAAATATAACATTCTCGCAAGAAATTAATGATTTTGAAACATGAGAATATAGAAATGCTTCAAGTAAAAGAAATGCTTAGATTAATTAATATTTCTTTGAAACAAAATAATTTTTAATTGAGTTGAAACAATTATTAACTTGTATTAATCTTCCCATTTTCTTGGCTCAAGACTATGGGTGTTGGATGAAATAAATAGTTGCTTTAAAGGAAATAAAAAAATTATTTGACTCAAGAACACAAATGACTCAAGGTAAATTACTTGACGTGAGAACATGATATTCTTGATTCAATACTTTTTCGAGACTTGGCGCATGTAAAACAGTTCGTTTGAAACAGTAAGATATTTACTTATGTCAAACCCATATTTTCTTATTTCAATAACTTTGATCAATGCTCAAAATTACTTGACACAAAAAAATAAATTTCTTCCAATAAGAAAATATGGGTTTGTTTCAAATAAATCAGGTCAAGAAAATGCATTTACTTGATTCAATGAACTTTTTTTTTCAGTGAATGAATTTCATATATGTTTACAAAACTTTTACATATTATTATTTTTATTATCATTAAGAACAAATATTATATGTAATTAAAGAATACAAAGAAAAATTAAAAAAACTCTAATTTTCTAAAAATAAATATCGTTGGGTCATTTGGGGTAAATGTAACCAGTTGATGTTTAAGATTAATTTAAAGATTTAAAATTAAGTAAGACGAAAATATTTAAGAGAGGTCCTGGGTATTATGCTAATATTTTATTTTGACAATTGCCAATGCTGAATTATACAGAAAATTCATATAGCTGATTAAAAAAAATTGGATTTAGATTTTTAATTATTACTTTGTAATTAAATTTATTTATATACTTTCAGTTATATAGTTCCACTTATTATTCCATTTGCAAAGTTTATTTTGTCTTATGTAGAATGTAGAACACGTGTCGAAAATAGCAAAAAAAATATTGCCGAGCAAAGTAAATTTGCTTTAATATAAAAATAATATAACATTTTTTTTCTTTTTATTACCAGCAGTGGGAATAAATTTATAATAAATTATGTGTACAATATTGATAATATTCGCAAATATTAAATTTTTTTGTTATCAAAACATTTAAAAATATGATTTACATTAGCAAAATTTAAAAAACAGCATCACGGAATATCGGAAAATCAGATCATAACTGCATTTATAATTAGTCTCATTTAAGATTGCAAATTATGTAAACAATGAATAAACTCAAAGATGATATTTATGATTAAAAAAGAAAAAAAAGTAAAATAAAATAAAATAAACCAGGAAAATGATAAAAGAAGCACTTCGACCCAGCCAGAGATCAGAAACATTGTTTCATTTCTTTTCATTTATATTTGATTTATATTGTTTATTTCGAAATTCACTTTCTCAATATTAAACTGAATAAATTTTAATAGCAATACTTCCAAACATTTTTTTACTCTAGTATTCATTACAAGACTTCTCTATTTTTTATTTATTATTGTTATTATTAATTTTTTATTTCTTAAAGTGAAAGTTAAAACAATATCTTATTTACTTTTTTATGAAACATTTTGTAATTCTTATAGTTATTATTATTGTTGGTATTGTTTTTAATTTACATGTGCATTTTTACTTTTTAATTCTCTTTTTAAGTTAAAAAATTCTTGAACTTAAAAATCTTTGTTTCACTTTCTATATTTCATATAATAAGTTCTAAAATTTTGACAATATCGACTTTATTGAGACGGAAATAATAATTTTAATCATTTATTAAATAGAAAAATCTTATTATTTACCTTTTTTTTGTTTTTAAGTTTTTCCAAGAATCATTATTATGTGCTTATGAGATATATTAAGAATAAATTTTGCGTGAGACTCCCTGCGAACTTGGTGGAGTTTAGATAAAATAATCTAAATGACGATAAGGTCAACATTGACGTTTGATGACTATATGAAAATTATAACAACGAGAGCTTTGGTGTCTGGCGATATTCTGAACTCCATTATCTTTCGTCACGTCATTAATTCACGAGATGAAATTTCTTCTTCTTCAGCTAGCCAAGAATCGTTCGAGTTTATTAAAAACAAAAACATGTTCCAGATTGTGCCAGTTTAATCGTTTCACTCTCAAGCAGCAAGTGTTTGAATCTGAAAATATCGTTATTTAAAGATAATAAAAACGAAATTTTTGAACAAATTCCCTGCAATTTTTACGAGAATATTTCGACTTTCCTTTAACCAACGGGTTTAAAAAATTTTCTTTCGAGGATTTACAAGGAGAAAAAACGTTGGATTTACCCAAATCGAATGAGGTTTCGAAAAATAAATAAAGTGAATTTTACACTTGAATTTAAAAATCATAAAACTTTGAGGACGCATTACACAAAAAGACAATTTGAAGAATTACTTTTTGAAAATTGCTTTGGTTAGTTATTTTTCTAAAATATATTGTTATTAAAACAGGTTTTTACAATTTCAACATCACAGCTAAAAATAAAGTATGTATACCAAGAAATAATATAAATCCTTTTCTATTAAATTTCAGATTGTAAAATGTCGGCAATACCCCAAGGAGCTTTTGCCACTCGAAAAGTACGTCAAAATAATAAATTGATCTTAAATTCAAAAATCGAAAACAAAGAAGAGGGAAAAAGTTTTTTCTATTCAAAATGTGTCCCTGAAGGTACAAAATTCATTTATTAAAATACACTTTAAAATAAGTGTTGTTATTTTAGGTATAAATAATAATAAACAACTCATTTATTAACAATATAATTAATATATTTAACAATCGATCTGGACAGTTCAGAGTGACTCTGTCGACTAACTGAATTACACTTTACGATGATTAGGTAGTTGAAAACAGTAACGTACCTATTAAAAGTGTAGAATAAGTTTCCTAATCTTATAATTAATTTTAGCGTATATTACAACATCCCTCCTCGCTAAAAGAGTGTATTTCAATTTTGAGCTTATTCTTTTAAACCTACTAAATTAACGAATCTTGTGAAAGGTGTAATTGGTAAACCTTTTGTTAAAAAATCTGCTTGATTGTTTTTGCTATCAATATAATATAGGTCAATTAAACCTTTCACAACATTATCACAAATAAAATGATATTTTAAATCAATGTGTTTAACTCTTTTGTTATTTAGAGGATTTCTTATCAACGCAATACAACCTTGGTTGTCTTCATAAACTTTAACTATTACATTTTTAATTTTAATATCATTTAGAATTTTCTTTATCCATAATCC